TTGCTAGGAGCTCATTAGTCTCTATTGCATGAAGAATCAGGCACAGACTTGGGACAAAACTAAGATATGGATACATAAAGAGACTTACAAACAAGAGTTTCACCTTTGTGTTGGACAACCCAGATAAAGCTGAAGCTATTTCAGAGCTGAGAATAATTCTCAGATTGAGTAGAGAAAGAGATGCGATCCTGGAAAAGACCAAATGATATGATCAAAAGGTGACTGGTTATCATTTCTTGTGATTGAATGGAGGCTCCAGCGTAATTTCTCCAGTGTCAACTTTTGGGGAAAATGGTGTTTTCCAACTCTGTTACAGCTCATCAAATCTGACCACAGTTTACAATAACGTCTGGACCAAGTGTAATAGAAACCATGAAAACGGTGACGACACATACTAAACCTTCACACGGCGCCATTGTTAAATTCAAACACGAGTAAACATCATATTTTAGCTTTTTTTTCCCTCTCATTTGGGCTGGTATACCTTCCTTTGAATCTCCTGTAATCACATCCAGATAATGTGACGACTCTCTGCTTGATCTTTTCTCGTGCAGTCTCTTCCTGTGACACCTCACCTTCTGTGATGTACCTTGTTTTCAAGCTGTTCTTTTGGTCTAAACGCCACGCTGGTTGCTTCCTTGATCATTATCTTTTTTCCCCTGCTGTCTGCACTTCAGCTGACTGCAAGCCAACGGTTGATTTGAATCAGATCAGAGTCAACTCAAAATAAGAGATTTAAAACAGTGACGTCCCCCGGTAGGCAACAGTGTGGGGCGTGCACGCATGTGCCGCACTGTTGCATCACTTAGCGCAATCGTTTTCAAAGTGTCTGAACTTCAGGGGAAACTGGGTAAAAATCTTTTCATGCTACCCTTAAATTCAGCATGGACAGATGTTATCTCATTCTGCATGTGCATATTGACATGTAAGCCTTCACTCCAGGTTTCTGATCTTTGCATGTCTGCCAAAGTTATGCCGCTAACAATAGGATGTGTCCCAAATGGGTGCCACTTGTTTGAAAAAAAGGTCAGAATGAAAGGAATAAAAGCTGCTGTGCTCACCCTGCTGCCTACTGACACTGACGTGTCAAAGAGAAAATAACAAACAAACGTGATCAAAGATATGAGAGACAACCTTTTAGGGATTTTTGTCCCTGCCAGAGTGAGATAAGGACTAACTTCTTTTCCTATAATGGAAGAGTTGCACATATTGCTCACAAATCAAAACTGACCGGCTGGCTCACCAGTTTTCCAAATTTTAACCGCCGAAGGGATCTATTTATAAACAGAGAAAATAATCAACCACCAAATCATTATGAATATAGTAATTCATTACTAATCCATAAACAGTTGTAATATAGATTTACCTTTACGTTTCAATGTTTCATATTCAAATCATTCAAATACGCTGTCAATTAAATAACGTTCAAAATGAATCCGTATTGTCATAGTTTAACTCTTAGCTTTTCACTAAAGGATGTTCCAGAATCTAGATGCAACTGCTCCTATTATTTTTGTAGTTTTAACATGTTCTTTTCTACTTTGCAGAATGTGAGAGGTCACAGAAATGGTCGAATTAGTTAATTCTTCTATCAAACATTTTGTGTAATTATAGTTTGAGTAATAAATAGATTCTGGAACAACACTGCAGCTAATGAGCAAACTTGTGGCCTTATCAGATTTTCAGAAAAAGTATGAAATGCCAAGACTCTGCGAGTGTACTGGAGGACAGGTCTGCTCTGTGCTCTCTATATTTAGATTGTTTTTGTCCTTTTCAAATCACATTGCTGAGAATAGGCAGTAAATATCACTCTGAAATCATGCATTACCTCTGCAACTTCAGTTTTAAAGTTTGGCTGTTTTAGTCAAATCAGACGATACCACGTGATACTTTTACTGGTTTCATGTTATATAATCATTTTACAATAATCTTCAACAATGTTTGGCCTTTTTTTTGCAAGAGGGTATGACCCAATGATCACTGATGCAGAGGCCACGACCTGACTAAATGAAATTAAACGCTGTACCCTAAATATTTTAAGCTAAATGCACGGATTTTTGGCCCAAGCAAAAATCCACTAATGCTTCCTAAACACCCACAGCATAGCAGCTCATCAAACAACACGGGAGCATATTATTCAAAACTGAGATTAAATCAAACAGAGACAGCATACAGCAATCAAGAACCTCAATATTTCTAACTGTAAACAATATTATCAGATGGCCATTCCACCACAAGCAACTTAAGAATGATCCTTTGTCACACTGCCAAAATTATCACAAAAAAGATTTCCCCTTTTTAACAGATATTGAAGCAATGGGTCACTTTACACAAAGGTTGCATTACGACTATTACTACTCTAAACTATCAATGGCACAAATTTCAGTCTGCACTGAGCACCGCTGAGACTGCAGCACGAAAAGAGGGGAAATAGCACTGTTGGACCCTGTAAGCGCCCTAATTTCCCAGGAATGGATCCGTAGACGCATTAATTGGACTGAGAAAATTGCTGCTCAAAAAGGCGTGCACTAGGGCCACAAACTTTCCCCGATCTGACAGTTCGGCAGTACGGCCGTTCTGTCTATTCTGCTCTATAATAAACCTCAGAGGTGTCTGAAATCTTGTTCTGCAACCATAACATTTTGTATCAACCCAGAATCTCAGTGGTGAAACGTAGAGCCAAAAGCTCCATTTCATGTATTACAGGCAGCCCTTCAGGGAATACTCCTGTGTGATTAATTTCCATTTCAAAGCTAAAAGCTCATGGAATGATGTCAGGGAAAAGGTTTGAAGTGGTGCACATTCAAACGGGAGCAAAAAATAAAATAAATAATAACACTCAGAGGGAGACAGTATCGTGCAGCGGCAAGAAAACAAAAATATAGGTTTCAAAAACTTGAGTGTGAGTACCCACTGCATGCGAGAGAGCTGCACACACACATCAGCACACGCTGTCACAGCAGCTCAGTGTCACACTTTTCATTCTGTCTCTTGTTACTTCTTTTGACGATCGTTGGTTATCGCCGGTTCCTAACTCAATGTGATGCAATGATTAATATTCTTCCTTCTGATCTTTAATACACCACCTACCCAATCCCACCACCTTCAACCAGCTTCCCCTCAAATCCTGTAGGCTCTAATTGGCCTGGTGTCCTTCACAAGGGAAAGTGCCGCTAAGAGCTGAACAGAGCGTGCTAGCAGGCTAATAGAGACATCTCCAAATGCCAGGTCACTGACTGGGCCGCTGACTCTCCTCCCAGCCTTGTCATGCTGTGTACAGTTAACCTTTTCATTAGACGGCATTTATAGACAACAGTGGTTCTCTAGTCACAAAGTGAGGCCTGTCAAAGTGGAGCAGGACATGAAAGGGTGTGAGATTTGTTGATTTCCGAGTGGACACAGACGCAAAGATGGCTATTGAGCAAAAACTTAAAAAAGGGGGAATTTATTCATAATGTAAATATGTCAATATCTTATCCAGATAATTAATGATCTAATGTTTCTGGATCGATCCTAAAACGTCAGAGTGATTTTAAGTCTTCCAAGTAAAGTGTTTTTATGTCTGGAAACATTTGAATCCTTAAAGGACCTGGGTGAAAACTCAAATCTTTTGTAATTTTTGAGAAAATTACTGAAACTTTGCAAAAAAGAAGAGCTCAAGGACACATGCAAGCCATTTATTTAGAAGTAAAACCTCTGCACTCCAGATTCAAACAGAAATCTAGAGCTTGCCAAATCCATGCATGGCTGAATCAGATCCTTATGAATTTATTCAATATAATTACATTGTCATTACCATCGTCTTGTGGTCTGAACCAAATCGTTGAGGATTAAACATTTTTTTGTCGCTACAGATTGAGAAGTTCTTGTGTTATGAGCCTCAACAGAAATACTGTTGGAATATCTTGTATTTATTCTGTAGCACTTAAACTTTTTGAAGTTTCAGGGTAAAACCGCTGAAACCTCATCTCATAATTTGATCAGTATCAATTAATGAGGAAAGGTGTAAGACATTAAATGAACAACCCTTTAATCAGAGATGGATAAATGGCTATGAGCTGCAAACAGGAGTAAAACCCTTTCTTTCTCATCTCGTGAGAGTTTGTTACGATTGCTGTTGGTAATCCACAACCGTCTAATCTTTCCTGTATCGTCTTGGGAGTTGGGGCTGGGGGGTGGTTTTGAGGCAAGCGCAGACTGGTAAAAAAAAAAAACTCTGTCTTGAAAAAGAACTGTTCAAAATCTCAAATTCTTACTTGATGTCGCTCTCTTGAACTCGCTCCTCATCTAAATCTTCAATAAATTTATCCCCCTTCATCCAATAGATAAGTGGACTGACGTCTCCGCTGTATCCAAAGAAGGCTCTGCACGTCAGGTTGA